CAGTCAGATAACTGAGCTCGTGCTGTGGTGCAGATCACAGTGCTCCAGCTCTCAGCCCTGCTGAAACAAGCCGACTCCAGCAAAAGGAAGCTGACCCTCACCCGCCTGGCATCGGCGCCCGTCCCGTTCACTGTGCTGAGCCTGACTGGGAATCCCTGCAAGGAGGACTACCTGGCTGTGTGTGGGCTGAAGGTAAGTGCCTGCCAAAGCCGTTTCCAGGGAGCTGCAAACATCAGCTGAAAGCCAGCTGGAGCAGCACTGTTTGCTCTGAGGAGTTAGCACGGAGCTGCCTCCAAAGTTCTGTCACTAATTCAGCTCCTGATTCACTTTCCTACTAGATAGATAAGGTATAAAAAGCAGACCCTGTATGAACAATATAATTAATGAGACAGTGCTTTGAAATAGTATTTCTTATTGTATTTAGGCTGATTTTGTTATTTTGTTTTAAGACAAGAGTCAAGGTTTAGTCATATCAAACTTAGTGTGTTAAAACTAGTCTGTAACAATTAGTGTTCTTTGGCAAGGATTCCTCTTTTTTGTATTCCCCCAAATTTAGATTCAACTTTCCCTGTGCAGAATTTACAGATGTGTTATTTAGCTGAGAAAAAGCTGCATTCTCTGTAGTGTTTTTCTTTTCAAACCTTCATGTCATTTATCTTCAGTGCAGGAAATTGAGATTTAGATTCTCTGAATCATTATTTGCTGTAAGAGAAATGCTGACTTTTAACTCCATTCTTGGCTTCAAATATTTGTAAACACTTTATTTTAATACTTAACCAATTTTCTCCATTACTCCAGGATTGCCATGTGTTAACATTCAGCAGCTCTGGATCAGTCTCTGATCATTTGGTGCTTCATCCCCAACTGGCCACTGGGAATTTCATCATCAAAGCCGTGTGGCTGCCAGGATCTCAAACAGAGCTGGCCATTGTCACTGCAGACTTTGTGAAGGTATGTCTGGCCATGAGCTGTTGATGATAGAGCTTCTGGCAGACATCAGAGTCTGGATACTCAGGGAGTTGCATGTGGGAGAATGTGGTAATATTCTTAGAAATTAATTGGAAATATAAATTTGAGATGTTTGGGCTGTTCTTGCAAGGAAAAGCAAACCCAAAGAACTCAAAGATAAAAAAAGCCCCAAACTGTAACACCTCATGGGGATTCCCTCATCTCAGCTCTTGTTCATTTGCACTGTTCTGTATCATAGCAGTTAATTCTACCTTGATAATCATTGTAGTTAATTATTTCTTTGGTTCTTCCCACAGATTTATGACCTCTCAGTAGATGCCTTGAGTCCAACTTTCTACTTCCTCCTACCGAGTTCCAAAATCAGGGATGTCACTTTCCTGTTCAACGAGGAGGGGAAGAACATCATTGTGATCATGTCCTCTGCTGGCTACATCTACACACAGCTCATGGAGGAGGCCAGCAGTGCCCAGCACGGGCCCTTCTATGTCACCAATGTGCTTGAAGTCAACCACGAGGACCTGAAGGTGCTGCTGACTTCCCTTTCTCTCTTTTTTTTGCATCTTCTGTTTGAAGGCAGAAGTTTCTTTTTTTTTTTCCCTTCTCCTTTCAAGCCCCCTGATCTAGATCAAGGAGCTTTCTCATTCCTCTAAAGAGAGAAATATCCTTACAGTAAAAGGAGGTGGGGGTGAAAATTAAACCCCTTGATCCTTTCATCTAGAAAATAGAGCATGTTTTCCATGGCTGGCTCTGAAGTCATGCCCAGCAGGATTTCTCAGCGGGGAGATGCCTTCAGAGCAGTGCTGTTCTCAGAGCAAGGCACTCCAAAGGTGCCAGAGCAGAAGGGATAAATCACCATGGCTGGGGCTGGAGAGCTGCAATCAGGCTTTGTTTCTTCTCTTGAGGATGACCTTTAAAATCTCTCTAGTGTTTTTACCCTAGCTGCTTCAAAACAGGAATAGATGGGAAGGAGGCTTTCAGGAAGGTCTTTTATGAGCTGGGCATCCAAGGGATACTCCATGTGACACTGTCACACAGCGCTGAGGGTGTTACCTACAGCCTCCGGGTGTGCAGGCTCAGCATCCCCTCCCAGAGCCTTTGAAGTGTCTGATGGATGAGTTCACCCAGGAGTTCAGCTTAGAAAATTGTCATTTAGGGCTCTGTTCTCTTACTGCTGGGGAGGAGGGGCGGCTTTGGGAATAATTCCATCGTAAATTTAAAAGCTTGACAGAGTGTTTGGGGATATTTGTGTCTGTGTTAAATGTTGGCATTTCTCTGGATCCCCCAGGACAGCAATGGCCAGGTGGCAGGAGGGGGGGTGTCAGTCTATTACTCCCACGTGCTGCAGATGTTGTTCTTCAGCTACTGCCAAGGCAAATCCTTCGCAGCCACCATCAGCCGAGCCAGCCTGGAAGTGCAGCGGCTCTTCCCAATTAACATCAAGAGGTGAGGATCCTGGGGAACACTCCCTGCATTTTTATTTCTTTCTTTCTTTAATAAATACAGTGTATTATTAAGCATCCCTGCTCTGAATGGCCAAGCAGTGCGGTGAAGATTCCCTGTTGGCCGATGATTTCTTGCTACTTTTCATGGTTCTTCTGTCCTAATGGACTTGGGTGATCCTTGTGGGTCGCTTCCAGCTCAGGAATTCCATGATATCCCAGTTGCAGAATGATTAGAAACCAAAACTGGCTGTTTCAGCAGTGAGCCACACATGCATTTTGTCCTCCCAGCAGGATTTCAGAGCAGAAAGGTGTGTGCAGAGCAGTGGAGCTGCACAGAGTGAGCTGCTCGAGGTGCAGCCGCTGGAACCGATGGGATTATCCGCCCTCGCCGAGGCGGCCGGGAAGGAAGTCTTTGTTTCCTTTCAGCACCACTGCTGCAGTGGACCTTGTGCATTGTGCATGTTAAGGCTGATTTTCAGACTCCCTTGAGGGAAACCAATCTCTTAGTCTATGAATGTGGCAAGAAAAAGACAGTTCTATTTTGCTTTCTGATACACAGTGCAGGGGCTGGGCACTCAGGCCACAGACTCTTCACTGGCCTGACACAAAGGCACTGTCACTAGTGGGCTCTGAAGGAGGGTCAGGTTCCAAGAGCTCCTGAACTCCAGCTGAGTTTGCCTTAATCTTTTTGCAGTTCTGTTTCCACTTTTTCCAGTGAGCAGACACTGATTCTCCTGCAGTAGCCTTTGCTTATTGCTGCTAGATGTGTTGAAATATGGAATTGTTCATCCATTCAGATAAAATCATCGCTGAAAGCCATTTATAAATTACCTCCTTGATTTGGGGCAAAAATGCAACACTAAGCCAGTTTTTCTTCAAGTTTGCAGGGTAAGGATCAGGGCTGAAGACAGGGGTACTCGTGGTTTCTGCCCACTGTGGTGATGGTTTCAGGTTTCTCACTTGTAAACCAGACACTGTTCATCGATGCAGTGCTTGATTCCCTGCTCAGGACAAAGCTTTAACTGATTTGAGCGCAGTGAAATTTGTGTGGTTTTGCTTGTGCTGCTCCTTAAACAAATGTCATTGTTCCCTTTGTCCTTTGCAGTTCCAATGGTGGCAGTAAGACTTCTCCAGCCCTGTGTCAGTGGTCTGAGGTGATGAACCACCCTGGCCTGGTGTGCTGTGTCCAGCAGACCACGGGTGTCCCACTGGTGGTGATGGTGAAGCCAGACACCTTCCTCATTCAGGAGATTAAGACCTTGCCAGCCAAAGCAAAGGTTAGTCAGGGTTCCCTGTACTTTTGACACTTAAAATTTGGTTTCTTGTTCTTCTATCAACCAGATTTCCAGAGTCTTGGCAGCCTTTCTAATACAAAGAGTTTATTTCTCCAGTCAAGAGTTACCAAGCCCTTGCCTTGCCTTGCAGATCCAGGACATGGTGGCCATCCGTCACACGGCCTGCAACGAGCAGCAGAGGACCACCATGATCCTGCTGTGTGAGGATGGCAGCCTGAGGATCTACATGGCCAACGTGGAGAACACATCCTACTGGCTGCAGCCCTCTCTGCAGCCCAGCAGCGTCATCAGCATCATGAAACCCGTGCGCAAGCGCAAGGCAGCCGCCATCAGTAAGGGCTCCTCCCGTGGCCTTTGTGACTCATGGTCCTGGGGTGCAAGATAAGTGTGTGTTCTGTTTGCCATCTGTTAGAGGTGTGGCAGTTATCTTCTGTTCGTAGAAAAGGATCAAGGTGCCAAAATCTGTCTTGGTATGAAAAGACAGGTGTCTGCTAAGGAAGGCAGGAGCCTCCCCTCAAATGGGCAGTGTAAACCCCCTCCCTCTGAATTGGTATAAATTTGAAATTAAGGGGCTCTCAGGCAAATATATGGGAGCAGGAATAACAGTTCTTTATTTGGGAAGAATTTTTTTTAAATAAAATAAACAATGCAGTAATACAAAACAACACTGACACAGTCAGGGAGGTGGCACAGTCCCATCCCAGGGGGGCTCAGCCCTCCTGCAGTGCCAGCTGTGCTTCTGCTGGAGCAGGATCCTGCACAAGGGGGGAGTTTTCCTTGGAGCTCCAGGGCTGGGGGAGATGGGCCTGGGCTTCCTCTGGGAATGCAGGGGGAAGAAAGCTGCTCCTCTGGGAATGTAGTGGGGAGAAAGCTGCTCCTCTGGGAATGCAGTGGGAAAGAGCTGCTGCTCTGGGAATACAGTGGGAAAAGGCTGCTGTGGTGTCCCAAAATCTTAGATTGGATCCATGTAGGAATGCTTGGCTCCTCCCCCTGGGCAGAGCATCTCCCACTGGGATGATGGAATTTTATCAGCCAGGCAGTGACACTCAATGACCCATGAACAAAAGATAATTAATAATTAATAACAGAAGCTATCTCCTTGAGGGAGGATTGGCTTGTGGAAGAGAGAAAGAAAACTGCCCAATGAACAGAAGATAACTGCCCCACCTCTAACAGATGGCAAAGAGAATACACACTTATCTTGCAATCCAGCACACTAATGGAGATGTAAAGATTGATATACATCATCTAAATACTTACAACAGTCATTCTGACAATTACCTAAGTACTGGCTAAGTGGATAAAATATTTCCACAGATGAATGTTGGAACCCTGGTTACTGAGAATTTTAGGCTTTCTGTGCTGGTAGGCACTGACCCTCAAGAGAACACCGCATTTGACCTGAAGCTGTACAGAAGGCTTCCAAAATTAAATAATAAAACTAAGATTATTAGTGCATAATTTAAATAAAAGTGTATAATATCACATAGTAGAAAACTCAGAGTTTAAAGTTTTAAAATACGGTAATATATATAAAAGAAGATAGAAGTTTTTAGACAGAGACGAGTCCTTCTTTTTCACCTTCTTCTTCCTAAGTTTGAGTAGTAAAAAATCCAACAGATGTATATAGAAATACTTTCCAAAGGACGCGAGTTGTTTCTGCAGGTTTTTTACTACAACTTTGCCTGTTTAGAATGTCTTTTGTCATAAGGATCTCTTTCCCCTTCTAGCAACTCGCACATCCAGCCAGGTGAACTTCCCCATTGACTTCTTTGAGCACAACCAGCAGCTGACAGACGTGGAGTTCGGGGGCAATGACCTGCTGCAGGTCTACAATGCCCAGCAGATCAAGCACCGGCTCAACTCCACGGGCATGTACGTGGCCAACACAAAGGTGAGTGGGGCAGTCTGGGGACTCTGCTGGGCTTCTGGATGACATTACTGTTCATGTTGATACCATGCCTTGCCTTAAGGAGACTGCTTTGTTCAAATGACCCTGCACAAATACTCTAATTCAGTAAACAGTGGAGGCACCTCTGTACAGAGTCCTTGCCTTCAGAGGGAGTTTTGAGCTGTGGTTTGTTTTCTGCAGCCCGGGGGGTTTCACCATCGAGGTGATCAACAACAACAGTACAATGGTGATGATGGGCATGCAGATCCTTTGAGCTGTGGTTTGTTCTCTGCAGCCCGGGGGTTTCACCATCGAGGTGATCAACAACAACAGTACGATGGTGATGATGGGCATGCAGATCCTTTGAGCTGTGGTTTGTTCTCTGCAGCCCGGGGGTTTCACCATCGAGGTGACCAACAACAACAGCACCATGGTGATGACAGGCATGCGGATCCAGATCGGCACGCAGGCCATCGAGCGCGCTCCCTCCTACCTGGAGATCTTCGGCCGCACCATGCAGCTCAACATGACCCGGGCCCGCTGGTTTGACTTCCCCTTCACCCGCGAGGAGGCCCTGCAGGCTGACAAGAAGCTCACCATCTTCAGTAAGGCTCTGTGCACTGCTTGCTCTGACCAGCTGATGGGTTGGTTTGGGTGGGGTGAAGCTGCTTCGCCTCACAGCAGGGAGTTGCCACAATCCATTCATTTGCCCTGACTGCAAAAACAGTCTGAGGGGGAAACCCTGAACGTTTCATAACTTTATTGATGGCCCAGTTTCTTGCTGCTGTGAGTGAGCTTTCAGTAGTCCAGCTCAATGATTTTGCACTGAGGCAAGAGAAGGAAAGTGGCCTTGCAAAGGAGATGGCACTGTCAGTGGCTGTGTATTAATGACAATGTAGTTGCTGTCCTGGTCCTGTGAAACGAGGCTGGTTTGTATCCAAAAGCTACAGTTTTCTCAGTTTTTAAGAAATTTCTCTCATCGCTACAGTTGGGGCTTCTGTGGATCCTGCTGGAGTCACCATGATGGATTCCATTAAAATTTATGGCAAAACCAAAGAGCAGTTTGGCTGGCCTGACGAGCCCCCCGAGGACTTCCCATCTGCTTCTGTGAGCAACGTTTGTCCCCCAAACCTCAACCAAGGGAATGGCACTGGGGACACCGAGTCTGCTGCCCCTGCTGCTGCCAGTGGGACTGTCCTGGAGAGGTATTTCCAGTCTTTCCCTTGTTTCTCCTTGGAAATGGGTTGTTGTTGTGGCAGGCACTTGGGTGCACTCATGTGCTTTTCCTGACTTGGAGAACTGGAGGGAATTCATGAGTTGTTCTCACTGCCTTACACAGCAACAACTGAAATCTGGGTTTGATTATCTTGGTAGGAGGGTTTGTGGTGGCTCTTGGTTGATCTGGTGCAGCAGATGGGTAGAGCTGTGTGCTTGCTTGTGCTGCCTAGTTCATTTTTCAGCAGTCTCAAGGAGTTCAAAGCAATTTCTGCTGCTGTGGTACATTCTTTCATTTCAAGTTGGCCCTTTTTTGGTCTCTGGAGCTCACAAAGGTCAGGCCTCTCTGAAGTTAAGCTCAGTTTTGAGGAGGGCTTTGTGTGTGACCCTGCTTTAGGCTTGTGGCTCCCACCAACTTGCCTTGTGCCTCAGGCTGAGCTGTTGTGCTGGGGAAGGTGTTGGGTTTTCAACCCCCATATCCATGCTGAGAGCCAAACCCCAAGGGTGACTTGGACATAAATGTAGTTTTGTTTAAGAACCTGTGTTCTTTCTTAAGTCCATGCTCTGTTTTCCTTTGAACTCATACAGTCTGTATCATAAGGGTTGTAAAAGCAGCAAGGACAGGAGGGAAACAGCTCAAAGAGGAAGTGGTACTGCTGAAAAATGAGCATTTCAGAGGCAACAATCACTGCTCAGCTGTAAGGAAGTAGTGGTTAAGTTTGTCTGACTGAAATTCTCAGGTGGAGGCTCAGGACTTGAAGTGCCACTTAGGCCCAGTTGAAGGACCTGTTCAGCCATCCTTTAATATTTTGTCTAATAGTCCATGGGATTTTTTCCTGTGTTTATTTTCCCTTTCCTTCCCTCCTCTGCCATGACATCCCCACAAGATGTCCCTCTCAGCACAGACATACTCTCTGGTTTTTCAGAGCAGTGGGATTATATTCTAAAAATTCAGATATAAAAAAATATTCTCCCTATTTGGTGTTACCTTCTGAAGGGCCTCTGGAGTAGGAACAGCTGATGGCAGGCAGGAGGCAGCTTTTCTATTCAAGTGTGGTGTCTGCACTCGAATTTAAGCCTGGGTGGTGCTTTAGGTGGTGCTTTAAGTGCTGCTTGGCTTCTCTGTGTGAGGTGACTTGGCTCATCTCTGTCTTTGTTTTGCTCCAGACCGTTGTGTGCTGCCCAGGTAGAGAGACCCTGCTTAGACTGACACTCCCCTGGCTTCCTGATTTCCCCATTTAATTTGCCTTTTGCTTAGATTGTGTTCTAGGGAGTTTTTCTGTGAGCTTTACACATTTTTATTTTTTTTTCCTTTTTCTTTGCTCCCCCAAAGTTCTGACACTGAGTCCCTAACCATCCTGGACCGGTTAGTATGGCATCCTTTTCTCTGCACGAATGCGTGTGTGTCAGAGACAGAACACATGGTGTGGCTTTTGGTGACTGGGATTCTTTTTGTTTTCCAAGTGACATTTGCTTCTTTACATTCTGGTCATTGCATGGCAGATGGTTTAGCAAAAGATGAGGTGGTTTGCAGATTTTTGCTTTACACGGCATAACTTTGCTTATTTGACAGACTCCTCTCTGCTTTGTTCCTTCCTTGTGCCTTCTTATCCCACTTCTGTTCCCTCCAAGCTGTATGAGGGTGGCTGTGGGGAGGGAGATGTTATTTATCACCACCAGACCAGACAATTGTTCCTTCTACCTTCCAATCCTACACTGCTATTTTTCACCTTAATGCTCTCTCTTCCCTGCTTTTTCCTGTATCTTCCTGCTCCTTCTGGTGTGTCAGATGGCATTTCAGGTAGTTCTACCTGAACTGTGTGCTGCTACAGGGACTTTGCTGCCACTTGTAAATCAAGTTTTCCCTCGGGACAAGTGTTTTCCCAGCCTGCTCACTGATTCCTCAGCATCCCTCGCTTGGGGTCACACCCAGTGCTCTGAGTTAATTTTTCTCTGGAATATTTTGTGCTGAAAGTCCAAATTGGAAAGAGCAACCTGTGTGAAAATAGCAAGCGAGTAGAACGTTGCTCCCTTAGCAAAGTCGGTTCCGCTTTTTCCCATGTGTCATAGCCAGCCTTGATCTGCAGTCATCTGTACGTCTGGGGGCCATGGTGAATTGGGACTGTCAAGACAATCCAAGTTATCCCTGCTGCAGGCTGCGTAAGGAAATGTTTTATCCTCTTTGGGAGAGAAAAGCCCCTGTCTTTCAGCTGTGGATTATTAAAGCAGTCCTAAGTTTGTCTGTGAGCGCGAGCCAGGTTTAACTCTGGTCTGTAACACAATGAAATGATATGCATGGTGCCTGTGGCAGGTTTTATCATGCTTTGATTTTGTACTTGGCATTCGTTAGCTGTCTCTGAGCTACTCATGACTGTAGCCCGCATAAAGCAAAGTGCTAAGGAGAGAGAAGGGTTGCTGTACTCAAACCTGCTTTCCTCTCTCCCTCCAGGCTAGTAGTGAGTTCTTTAGAAGCGCTGGAAAGCTGCTTTGCAGTGGGACCAGTCAACGAGAAGGCAAGTAACTTTCTGAATACATTCCTGAGCTTTGGAGCTGGGGAGGAGGGGCGAGCTCAGCACTACCTCCTGCAGCCCCGGGGGCCTGATAGGAGCAGAGCCGCATCCCTTTTGCTCAGAGCACTGATCTGAAAGTTGCCTTAGCCAAAAGCGTTTGAAACTAGTTTAGAATGACAATTGGCATTTGCATTTAGCGCTGGTGGGCTTTTTGTGCTGAGGAGTGACCTCGTTTACAGAAACAGCAGGGTAGGAGCCCATAAATCTCAAAGGGACTTTTCTCGTGTAGACATGTGAAGTGTTCCCTAAATGTCAAATAGTAAATGGAGGGAGGCTATCAAAAGGGTGTTGAGGGAGGGGAGCTGCAGGTACACTGAGTGATGGTAAATATACTGAATAATGGGGCTTGTCTGTTCTTAGGAGAAGAATAAGATTGCAGCTCAGGAACTGGCTACTGTGCTGCTGTCCATGCCAGCCCCTTCCAGCGTGCAGCAGCAGACCAAGAGCCTCCTGGCCAGCTTGCACACCAGCCGTTCAGCCTACCACAACCACAAGGTACTGCCCAGGGCATGGATTTGGGGGCTCCTGGAACCTGCCAGGTCATGGCTGAGGTGCAGAAAAGCCCTAGAGAGCCCTTCCTCCATGCAGCACAAACCTCCTGTCCCCTCTCCCTTTAGCTCCTGCTGCCTGCCCTGCTGGCTTTTCTGTTTCACCAGAGCTGTGTGATGCTGTGACCTGTTAGCATTGCTTGCCCTTCTTTAGACAATAGGTGCCAGGTTTCCCCAGGATCTGTCCTGTGATTGTGCTTCAGCTGCTTTCTTGTGCTGCAGTCAGTTGTTTTTCTTTGCCTGTGTTATGTCTCGCTCTACAGGATCAAGCACTGCTAAGCAAAGCCATTCAGTATTTGACTTCCTCAACCAAAGAAGGAAAGGACCTTGATCCCGAGGTATTCCAGAGGCTGGTCATCACTGCTCGATCCATTGCTATTATGAGACCCAACAATCTGGTCCACTACACAGAATCCAGGCTGCCACAGCTGGAAACAGGTAGATAAGTCTGTAATTTTCTCTAAGTTTCTGTTGTGATAATTGAAGCTGTGCTGGGTGTCAGGTTTGGAGTGGCAGAGACTGGTTTTGACACATTTGGTAGGTGTGTGATATCCTGCTGATGAGAACATCAAAGCCTCTGAAAAAAGCCATTTCAAATAAACTTGGTGTTACCCTCATTAAGGTTTTCCCCTGCACATTTCTGAGAGGTGTTTTTTAATCTGTGCAGAGAGTGAAGAAGGGCAGGAGGCCCAGAAACACACGGAAGGAGAGGGCTGCACCTTCATTACCCAGCTGGTGAACCACTTCTGGAAGCTCCATGCATCAAAACCCAAAAACGCCTTCCTGGCCCCTGCCTGCCTGCCAGGTGGGAGAGCTCTTCCTTTACTATTGGCTAGCCTGTGGCTTCTGGAGGGGCCTGTTTTAAATTTGTGAGCAGAGAACATAACTTTTCAATGCTAGTGCTGCACTGAGGGCTTTGTGATGTGGAGCTGCAGATTCTGCTTCAAAGCTTTTGTTCAGGGGCATGTGTATTGTGCCAGGAAGAAGGGACTGATGATTGATTTACCCACATTTGTCTTCGTGGGTGGGGTTAGAGGATATTCAGTGGTGCTGGTGTAATGAGTTCACAATATTCCATCAGACAGACAAGACTGGCTCAGTCTGGATTGAAAATCAATATATTTGTGCTGTTAACACTGTGCCTTGAAGTCTGCAAACAAAAGATGCTTCCTGCAGTGCCTCATTCTGTACTGAAATACAGAGAGCTGATTTCAGTCCTGCTTTTATTCCTGCTAGGTCTCACTCACGTTGAAGCCACAGTCAATGCTTTGGTGGATATTATCCATGGATACTGCACGTGTGAGCTGGACTGTATCCATACTGCATCCAAGATCTACATGCAGATGTTACTTTGCCCAGTATGTCACCTTGCTCTGCCCTGCCTCAGCCTCTAATTGCACCAGGGGAGGTTTAGATTGGACATCTGGAAAAATTTCTTTGTGGAAGGGTGTTCCAGCCTGCCACAGGCTGCCCAGAGCAGTGGTTGAGTCCCCACCCCTGGAGGGATTTAAAAGTGTAGATGTGGCACTTAGGGACATGGGTTAGGGGGATTGGCGGTGTTGGGTTTATGGTTGGGCTTGATCTCAGAGGGCTTTTTCAACCTAAATGTTTCCATGATTCTGTAATGAGAAAAAAATTGAATGTGGGCGAATACATAGTACAGACACAAAATACTGCCAAAAACACCCAGCCAGAAGTGAATGAAGGAGGATTCTCCCTCTCTCCTTGTGTTCTAGTAATGTTTGTCACGTGCTGCGTGTGGAATTACAAGTGTGTTGCTTTGTGGGAGTTGACTCGTGTCCTACATGAACCATGACTGACAAGAGTCACAAGTGTATTTTTATCATCTTTCCAAATGCTGTGAAAAAGGACTTGGAGGTTAATGAGTGTAATGATGGACTGTTCACCCTGCAGGACCCAGCAGTAAGCTTTTCCTGCAAGCAAGCTTTGATCAGGGTGCTGAGACCCCGGAACAAGCGGCGCCACGTGACCCTGCCATCGTCCCCCCGCAGCAACACCCCCATGGGTACGCCAGCATGGCCTCTTGACTGCTCAGAAAGGACAAGAAAATAAAGTGGTCTTGTTATAAACCGAGACTAAAAAATACTAAAATCAGCTTCTTTCCTTTCTTTTGCTCTCTTAAACCCCTTTTTGTTTAATAAACTCTCACCTTTTCATTGATATTTTGGGATTCACAAAAGAGATCTCTCTGAGATACTCCCCTTTCAGTGACAGGAAAATCTGATCATTTTATCTAGAGAGCAGTAATCTAGAGTTAGTATTTCTATGCATGTTTTCAGGTTCTAATAAATCAGTGCACATTAAAGACTTGTGCAGATGAAAATTATCAGAGTTCCATCCAAGAGAGGTTTTTCAGTATTGAAACAAATGGTGTGTCAGGGAGTCTCTTGGTAACTGAGGGTAGCTTGGGTTTTTTCCCAGCATTAACTACTATGTTTGGGATGGGATGAGGAGCTGTGCATTTATCAACTCCTGCTTTGCCACTCAGGAGATAAGGATGATGATGATGATGATGATGCAGAAGACAAGCTGCAGAGCTCTGGGATAGCAAATGGAGAGCACATCCGACAGGAGAGCCAGGAGCAGAGCGAGGTGGATCACGGGGACTTTGAGATGGTGGTGAGTCCAGAGCTTCTCCCTGGAGCCTTTGAAGTGTGCCAGGACTTGAGTTAATTTAGTTCTTATGAACCTGTTTGTAGTGATCCCTTGCTGGTGGTGGTCTGGGGAAAGATCTCACTGTGTTTCCCCTCCACAGTCTGAATCCATGGTTCTGGAGACTTCTGAGAATGTGAACAATGGAAATCCTTCTCCTCTGGAGGCTCTCCTGGCTGGAGCAGAGGGCTTCCCTCCAATGCTGGATATCCCTCCAGATGCAGATGACGAGACAATGGTGGAGTTGGCTATTGCCCTGAGCCTGCAACAAGATCAGCAAGGTCAGATGTGGGCACTCTTGGCAGGCAAAAAGGGGATGAAAACTGGGAAAGAAATGAGGCAAAACTCTTGGTGTCATCACCAGTGAATGCATGATAGCAGAACTATGAAAGGTACAAAAAAATGCCAGAGTTAACTTCATTCTCTCAAATGGAAGATGCTCACAGCTAGTTCTCTGCTTGCAGGGAGCAGCAGCAGTGCCCTGGGACTGCAGAGCTTAGGACTGTCCGGCCAAGCTCCCAGCTCCTCCTCTCTCGACGCTGGAACGCTCTCAGACACAACAGCATCAGGTAACTGTTCACTGCAAGGCATCTTCTTTTTCAGATTTTGACCTAAGTAATGCCTTAAAATTGGTTTGCAAATATGGTTTGGAAGAGCCAGTGATTACTATTGGCTTCTTGTATTTTTGAGAGTGTACTTACAGCTTTTTCCTGCTTTGATTGACTCTCACTGTAGACTTCTGAGGAAGTTATTTCCTCTCTTCAAACTAAAGCAGACAAAACAAAGCATGTGCTGTATTTCCTTTGCATTTATAAACAACCAGACATTGCTCTTTAAATAACTGTGCATGCCTGTATGTTTGATAGAGAAGCTTTCCTCTCGGGATATCTCCCCTCCACTGCTTTAACTGTCCTGCTGGTCACCCCCAAAGCTCCCTTTCCATTTGGAGCTGGCCCCAAGCCCCACACCCTGTCCCTGCAGCCTTTCCCTGGTAGCGCGAGCGTCGTTTGCAGTTGTTCCCAGGCAGTGTTTTTACTTGTAACAGCTCTCTTTATTCTCTTAGCTCCAGCCTCCGACGACGAGGGCAGCACGGCGGCCACGGACGGCTCCACGCTGCGGACGTCGCCCGCGGAGCACGGCGGCAGCGTGGGCTCGGAGAGCGGCGGCAGCGCCGTGGACTCGGTGGCCGGGGAGCACAGCGGTGAGTGAGCCCTGCTGCGTCCCTGCTGCGCCCCTGCTGCGCCCCTGCTGCAGCTCTGCTCCCTCCCTGCTCCCTCCCTGCTGCACCCTTGCTGCCACAGCCTTGCCCACCATGGGCTCATGCAGGTGACCCCTGGCACTGAGGGAATCTCAGTTCCCAGTGGCTGCTGCTATCCATCATTTTGTGGGTTCTGCCCCAGTGCCCACAGATGGAATGTTGTCTGCCTTTTGTGGTTCTCTGGAAGTGCAGAATCTGCAGCAGATTTTGCTGGGCTGTAATAACAGAATCATCGAAGCCCAGAATGGTTTGGCTGGGAAGGGACCTTACTGATCATCCTATACCAACCCCAAGGCAGGGACACCTTCCACCATCTCAGGGTTGCTCCAAGCCCTGTCAAACCTGGCCTTGGACACTTCCAGGGATGGGGCAGTCACAGCTTCTCTGGACAACCTGTGCCAGGGCTTCATCACCCTCTGAGTAAAGAATTTCCTCCTAATATCCCATCTAATTCTGCCCTTGCTCAGCTTAAAGTCACTGCCCCCGGTCCTGTCACTCTCTCCCCATATAAAAAGTCCCTCTCCCTCCTATTCATAAGAACCCAGTACTCTATAAGGTAAGGTATGGGAGGCCACAGCAAGGTCTCCCCAGAGCCTTTGCCTCTCAGAATGCCTAGAGCAAGACTGAGACAATTCACTATGCTGCTGGTTACGTTTCGATGAGATAGGATTCATTCCTCTCTTTTTAGTTTGGGACTGATACCCAGGAAAAATAATCACAGCCTCCTATTAAAAATTGTCTGATTGTCTGCACTGCCCATCCAAGCACTGTCTGACTGAGTTTGAATTACTGCTGTGGGACCAGTTCAGTTTGGGCCACAAAGATGAGGGTGGCAAAGAAAATATTTCTACAAATGCATTCCCAGCCTCTCTTTAGGCTTTAATAAGAGAACCAAAGCCAGCATCTCCCTTGAACCACGATTGATTGCAAAGTGCAGCTCAGCTGTGCTGGTGGATACGGAGCAGGGAAGGTGCTCGTTGGGTTGCTGATGTTGTGTTTCCCTGTTTTCCTTGCCAGTGTCTGGCCGGAGCAGCGCCTACGGGGACACCACGGCCGAGGGCCACCCGGCGGGGCCGGGCAGCGTCAGCTCCAGCACAGGAGCCATCAGCACCACCACGGGCCAGCAGGAGGGAGAGGGCTCCGAGGGGGAAGGGGAGGCAGAGGGGGACGTCCACACCAGCAACAGGCAAGAGGCTTTGTTTCCTCTTGAGGAAGAAGAGCTGTGCTCTGGGGGATGTTTGCAGAGGAGGGGGCTGCGGGGCTGCAGTTCCAGGAGCATCACTTGTGACTGCTGGGTAACCAAAGTGGAAAGTCAGAAACAGACTAGAGCAAACTGCCACTGCAAAAACATGGAATGTCCTGAGGTGGAAGGGACCCACAAATATCATCCAGTCCAACCCCTGGCTCTGCCAATCCCAACAATCTCACCCTCTTCACCCCAACGTTGTCCAAACGCTCCTGGAGCTCTGGCAGCCCCGGGGCTGTGCCCATTCCCCGGGGAGCCTACTCAGTGCACCCTCTGTGCAATCATCATGTGGTGTGATAAACACACCCAGTGTGTGTCCCACAAAACTGCTGCCTCTAGAAAGTGATGAAAAAGTGCTGCATGGGTCTAGTTAACACGGAATCACTAAAATCTTGGGAGCCTGTGAAATTCAGTGTTAGGACAAAAGCATATGCAAGTGTCCTTTGGGAGCACGGGCAGTTTTTAATCTGTGGGAGCAGGTGCTCAGTCCTGCTCCAGGGCAGTGTGGAGCTGATTTGCAGGATGTTCCCGTACAGTTGCAATGCCCAGGTGGCCAGGCCTGGGCAGTGTGGCTCCATTGTCAGAGGCGCTCTGCATCCTTGGCATTGCTCCCCCATGAAGTCAGAGCAAGTCCTCTCCTCCCTGGGAGGATTTGGTGGCTGGGGGTTTCTGGGGCAGATTGGAGACCCTGCTGGCTGTGGTGTGTTCTGTGCTGTGTCTGACTGCTGGCTCTGAATCCCCAGGCTGCACATGGTCCGGCTGATGCTGCTGGAGCGGCTGCTGCAGAATCTCCCCCAGCTGAGGAACGTGGGAGGGGTCCGGGCCATCCCTTACATGCAGGTGAGTGAGGAGGGCTCAGAGTTAAGCCCAAATCAAACAGTTCAATCTCTGGTTTCTATTTGTGCTTTTCTCCTTCTTGCCCGGTCACAGTATGTGTCCATCTGTTGCAAAGCATTCCTTACCCACAGGTTTTTCCTGGACTTGTGCCCTTTCTCAGTGTGACTTTACAGCTGACTGAGGAGCCTGAGGGCTCCAGTCCTCGAGCTCCAATGTGCTTGGGAAGGTCTTGTGGGTGTTTGCTGAATGTTGATATTGGGATGTGAGGCACAGGCTGGATTTGGGAAAGAACACATATAAATGAAGATAAAATCAGTTCTGTTTTGTGAAAGACAGTTATCTTGATAATGTGGAACCTGCCCTCTAATAAATCTCTGCTCTTCCCAGGTTATTCTGATGCTCACAACAGACCTAGATGGAGATGATGAGAAAGACAAGGGAGCTTTGGATAACCTTCTGTCCCAGCTGATTGCAGAGCTGGGCATGGACAAAAAGGTAAAGTGCAGTGTGGGCTCATGCTCTGAATTTGCTCCTTCTAAATAGGGTTTATTTCCTTGGAGGAATTAAATGCTTGGAAGTCACAGAAACACTGCTGTGTGGTTGTGTTCAGGCAGTTTATTCCTCTTGCCTCCTTTCATGTAAGGTAGAAAATGACATGAGTGGAACTCCCACTGTTTCCTGGGTCTGACATCCACAAGTGAGCATGAAAATTTGTTTTGCTGGAATTAAACTCTGAGAAGAGCCATGATGACTAAATGTATGATTGACATATGAAGCTTTTCATTTGTGTGGGACTGTTCTCTGGCAGCCAGGCCTCTGCCTACCCTTCTGTTGAGGCATTTGTGCTGCCTTTTCCTATTGCTTGAGCTTAAATTAGAAATGCTTCCAGAGGATCAGAGCACCGAACTTGAGAGGCTTGGGACACTGCTCAGCTCTGGGATTGAGCAAGCAGGATGTGTCTTTTCCTGCAGGATGTGTCCAAGAAAAACGAGCGCTCCCCTGTGAACGAGGTGCACTTGGTGGTGATGAGGCTGCTCAGTGTCTTCATGTCCAGGACCAAGTCAGGATCCAAGACTTCCATTTGTGAGGTACATTCTCCAAATTGCTTTGTCAGGGGTTGATTTTCTCCCCCTTTACTCAGCTCTCACAAGACCCCACCTGGAGCACTGCACACAGCTCCGGTGTTCTCAACATGAGAATAATTGTGGGAGCAAGTGCAGGGGAGGCCACAGACTTGCTCAGGGACTGGAGCACCTCCCCTATGGAGACAGGCTGGGAGAGTTGGGGATGTTCAGCCTGAAGAGGAGAAGGTTGTGTGGAGAGCCCACAACACCTTCCAGGGTCTAAAGGGGCTACAGGAAAGACAGAAAGGGACTTTACATCAGGAGCTGCAGTGGCAGGACAAGGAGGAATGGATCAGACTGAAAGAGGGGATATTTAGGTCAGATATTGGGAACAAATTCTTCCCTGTGAGGGTGGGGATTGCCCAGAGAAGCAGTGGCTGCCCCTGGATCCCTGGAAGTGTCCAAGGCTGGGTTGGCCAGGGCTTGGAGCAATGTGGGATAGTGGAAGGTGTCCCTGCCCATGGCAGAGAATGGATTGGGATGAACTTTAAGGTTCCTTCCAACCTAAACCATTCTGGAAATCCATTATGTGCTTGGGGGGCTTTTGTTCATCAGAGATGATCTAAAAGCTGCTAACTGAAATAACAGGTGTAAAACTGAAAAATCTGTGAGAGGGCTTTGGAAAAATGCATAGGGAGCATGTAATGTTACTGAACTCTTGTGGAAAAAGTTTTGAAACTGGGGCTGGAGGAAGCAGCTGTGTAAAGACAATTGGATGCTCTTGTTTTGTGCATGGTTCCAGACTGAGCTCAGGGCAGCACATTAATGATGTTACTTAAAACGGTCTGGCAGATTTTCACTTGCATCTCACCAGTGCTGAAGGGGTTAAAGAGGATTTGTAATGTGATTATTGGAAAGCAATATGCTGCTGTGTCAACGTAAAAGTCGCTAAGAGGATTCCTTAGATATTTGTTGCTAAAAGGTACAGTAATAAGGCATAAAAAGCAGTATGTGTGGTGGGAAGGAGATTAATAAAAAAGCATAGAGGTTAAAAAATTTAGTCTGAACTGCATCAAATTTTAATGAGCTTATGAGCTGTGGGGTTTGTTTGGATTTACAGGGCTGCTTTAATAGTTTTATTTACAGTAGCTTTTTCTCCAGCCTTTGTTACTCACTTGAGCTTCCCACAGAAATCAAAGCTCCTCGTCTTGCAGAATGCAGGTGGAGCAATACCTGGGTGGAGCAGAGCCTGTGAGCGGCAGCTGCAACAGGGACTCTTTCTCTACCAGGATTCACGCCCAGCTGGCCAAATCCCAGATAAACAAATAGAAATCCCAACTTTAAAAAAAAAAAAAAAAAAAAAAAAAGAGAAAAAAGCCCTAGTCGTCTAATCCACAGCAGAGTGGCCTCTGGCACATGTGTCGAGGGGAGATTAGACTTAAGAGGAGATTTTATTTGTTTTCCTTTACTAAGCACTTGTTCAAAAGAGTCTCTGTAAATATTTGAGTTGCTTTTCATAAACACAAAAAAAAACCCTAAAAACCCCAACCTCAAACAAACCCCAAACTTAAAAGCTGCCTGCAAAGTTTCATCCAAACCTGCTCTCTTGGCCACACTGTCAGCAGGTGCTCAGGGCTGCCCCAGCTCTCCCCACTGCAGGTTCCCAGGTGTGTTCCTGATCCAGCTCCTTCCCTCTGTTCCAGGCTTCCTCCCTGATCTCCAGTGCCACGGCAGCCGCCTTGCTGAGCTCTGGTGCTGTTGATTACTGTCTGCACGTGCTCAAGTCCCTGCTGGAGTACTGGAAGAGCCAGCAGAACGACGAGGAGCCTGTGGCCACCAGCCAGCTGCTGAAGCCTCACACCACTTCCTCTCCTCCTGACATGAGCCCCTTTTTCCTCCGCCAGTATGTGAAGGTGAGTCCTGCCCTGTGCTGGGAGCCATGCAGGCCTGCACTGGGAGCTGGGAAAGCAGCCCTGCACAAGGAGTTTGCCCTTGGGAGAGCAACCAGAATCCATCTTCTAGCACAAAGTTACAGCTGGGAGTGCTTCGAGTTGTCACAGGGCAGCCCAGCATCTCTCCCATCTCTCACTGCATCCCTTGGTGCACCCCAGGGGTTCTGTGGAGCTGTTCCTGGAGGAGTTGTTAATCATGCCAAAGGGAAGCTGCCTCCAGCCCATCTCTGTGCTTGGCAGGCAGAATTCCTGAACTTAGTGTGTCAAGGAAGTGGAATGGTGGATGGGAATTTCCACAGTAATTCCTAGGCTTGTTCCACCGCTCTGGTGCCATTATGCCATGGTTTGGTGTTCATGCAGGTGCAGTGCAAAAAGCCTGATTAAATGTAAAAATGTCTCCTAAGCTGAAAGCTCCTGAGTTGAACTGCTTTATTAGTCCGGATTAGCTTAGTGCAGCCTCACAGCTGCCATCCAGTTCAAGGCCTTGTGCAGGTTCTTATCCATCATTTTGGAACATCCTTTGGGCTGCAAAGAGGCAGAAATCCCTTGTTTTTAAAAAATCAGCAAAGCACCCTGTCATTCATCATGGCACCACACTGGGTGTGCTCAGGGACTGAGGGATTTCTCCTGCTGCCAGGGCCATGCTGCAGATGTTTTTGAGGCCTACACTCAGCTCCTGACAGAGATGGTGCTGCGCCTGCCCTACCAGATCAAGAAGATTGCAGACACAAACTCCCGCATCCCCCCGCCCATCTTTGATCACTCCTGGTTCTACTTTTTGTCTGAGGTAAGCAATAACATGACATATCTACAGATTTCCACAAGAAAACTCCAATAATGATTTCTTTCATGGGAGAGAAGAGCTTTTGCAGAGCTGATCTCAGCTCCATCTTGTTTTTTTAATGCTCTTGAAAGAAGGTGAAAGAAGGTTGGCTTTGTGTATTCCTAAACAGGAATCTGTAGAAAAACACATGAAAAATGAGGAATATTTCTTGGAACTCAGTGGTTGCTGCTACAAAGCTTAGAGAAAAAACCTGCTGTGAGATGGAAAAATGTAACATCATGCTCAGCTGTTGGTACTTGGGCCTTGAAAAAGAAATCAGGAAGATATTTGTCTCAGTTTGCTTCCTACTTTACATAACGAGTTATCTTACATTTACACAAGGATGAGTGAGGATTTCTTAATTAGCCTTGGTTGGGTGTTGATTTGAGGTTGGAGATGACAAGGGATGGTTTCCAGCAAGTGGTGCAGTGTTGCTGTGCTTCTGCCTGGGACTCACAGCACCTTCAAGCCGGGTGAACTCACCTCCCATCTGTTTACTTTTTGGAAGAAAACACTCACTTTTGGTGGCCCTGGTGAGCTCACTGTGCCCTGGCTTCCCCCTGCAGTACCTGATGATCCAGCAGACGCCGTTCGTGCGCCGGCAGGTGCGCAAGCTGCTGCTCTTCATCTGCGGCTCCAAGGACAAGTACCGGCAGCTGCGGGACCTGCACACCCTGGACTCGCACGTGAGGGGCATCAAGAAGCTGCTGGAGGAGCAGGGCATCTTCCTGAGGGCCAGCGTGGTGACAGCCAGCTCGGGCTCTGCCCTGCAGTACGACACCCTAATCTCCCTGGTAAGGGCAGGAGCAGGGAAAGGGCCGTGGAGTGGTGTTGGTCAATGCTGATGTGCTCTTTGACCCCATCCCTTTGTGCCTGCAGATGGAACATTTGAAGGCTTGTGCAGAGATTGCCACGCAGAGAACAGTGAACTGGCAGAAATTCTGCATCAAGGATGACTGTGAGTTCTGTCTCTGCAGGGTTTGAGGGAGCAGTGGTTGGATCGAGGTGGCTCGGATGGAGCTCAGCAGAGGAGGACACAGCTGAGGGTTTTGATAGGACTGAACTGTTCCCAGTACTAATTATCCCAGTGCCCTAATTGCATCTGGTCCTTGGCTAAAGAGCAAAATATGGTGTAATGGATAACTTAGAGGAACAGGAGATCTGTGTTCTCTTGCTTGTGCTGCCGTTGTCCCAGAGGTTAATTTGGGATGAGACCCTGTACCGGGTCATGTTAGACCTCTGTGGTGTAGGGACAGGACAGTTCTGGGAGTTTGGTTCTTGTGTACAAAGGCTTTTGGTTTAGGCTGGGCCTTTTTTTATTCTTCTTTCTTAATTCAGGCTTTTGTGGCATGCAGCTGTGTCAGGGCAGGGTTAGGCTGAATATCAGGGAAAGGTTCTTCCCCAGAGGGCGCTGGCACTGCCCAGGCTCCCCAGGGAATGGGCACAGCCCCGAGGCTGCCAGAGCTCCAGGAGCATTTGGACGAGGCTCCCAGGGATGCTGGGGGGTGTGTGCAGGGCCAGGGTTGGATTCAATCCCTGTGGGCCTTTTCCAGCTCAGGATGTTCCATGATTGTGTGATTCAAACATTTTCTCCTTTCCTCCACAGCGGTTCTCTATTTCCTGCTCCAAGTCAGCTTCCTGGTAGACGAAGGAGTGTCCCCAGTTCTCCTGCAGCTGTTGTCTTGTGCTCTGTGTGGCAGCAAAGTGCTGTCTGTGGCTTCATCCTCTGGAGCTTCCAGCACCTCTTCCACCTCTGCTCCTGCAGCATCTGGCTCTGGGCAGGCAGCAGCACAGAGCAAATCCTCCACCAAAAAGAGCAAGAAGGAGGAAAAGGAGAAGGAGCGAGAGGGTGAGGGACAGCTAGGCCCTGACCTGTGGTTTTAGGGAGCAAGTCTGCTCTTCACAGCCTCTTTTACTCTGTTTAGAAAGGACTGGTTGATAAATCCTGCTGTTGGGAAAGGGTCATGGTTTGTGGCAAGGGCACCCACAGCCACAATCAGGAGAGAGGAGCAGTTTTCTCATCTGTAGGTGGGACTAAGGTGAAGCAGCATGTCCTGAGAGTTGGGCTGAGATACCTGCTCAGGACATCCCAAACCCACTGTGTTTATTGCCTTGAGTGGGTTTGAAGTTGTCTAATGGTGTTACCTAATCAAGTGATGAAGCAGCTTCCACTTAACTTGCCTGTCCTGGGTTGTAGGAGGCTGAAAGGCTCACGAGGATTAAAACAAATCCTGGGGATGCACACCCAGTTAGCTGTGCTCCGCAGTGATTGCGTTCAGACTTGTTTCCTCTGGCTGCCTTGGAAGCTCTGCTGGAGCCAGGGCCGCTGCTTAATGAATATCCACAGTCCTGGGAAAGTAATTAAGCTTCCCTATAAAAGTCATGGGCATAAATTCTCTCTTGGCTTTTCTTCAAGGAACCGCTTTGGCTTTCACCATCAGATGGTTCTCTGTGAGTCTTTTCATTGCCTCATGGTCAGTCCTTTTCTTTTTATCAGGATGTGTAGCACATTTCTCACGTCCTCACTGGCAAGTTTTCCTGCAGTTTTTTTCCTGTTAGTCAGGAGTACTGGGTTATATTTTTGAAAAAGACAGGAATGTTAAACTTTCTTGTTACCTGAAACGTAATAATTTATTATCCTGACTCTTTGAAATAGGAGAGTGGCCTGCCTGTGTGGTGCTGCATTTGTCTTCTCCCTAAAGCCTTCCCTGTGTCCCTAGGTGAGGGTTCAGGCAGCCAGGAGGACCAGCTGTGTACGGCCCTGGTGAACCAGCTGAACAAGTTTGCTGACAAGGAGACCCTCATCCAGTTCCTGCGCTGCTTCCTGCTGGAATCCAACTCCTCCTCGGTGAGGTGGCAGGCCCACTGCCTGGCCCTGCACATCTACAGGTGAGCCTGGGGGCTGGCTCAGTGCCAGAGCCTCTCCCTGAAGGAGCCTGAAGGTGTTGGGCTTCTCTGGAATTGCCCCCGCTGGTTTGCAGTTACTGGGGCTGGAGGTGGAAGCTGTGACTTACCCATGAGCAATCTCAGTTGTCATCTGCAAGGAGCATTTTATTGCTGTCTGCAAAATCTGACTCCTGTCATGACCAGGAGCAGGTGTTGGTGGGCAAAGTGAATTTATGAGGCACATCCAGACTTCCACAGTGAAAAGCTGGGAATTGTATGGGGAAAGGAGTGCTTTAGGGGTCTGAACTCCTTCAGAGCTCTGTTCAGTTGTTGCAGGACAGCTGCTTTTGTTCTGGGGTGCTGGAAAACAGATGGGTTCAAGGGATGGTGGGATTTAGCTCTGTGAACTCTGCAAGATGATGGTTTCCCAGTTTGGTGGACTGGAGGTTATGTTCTCCTTCTGCACAAGAGGCCTGATTGTCTATAATCCACCCAACAGGAACTCCAACAAGTCCCAGCAGGAGTTACTGCTGGATCTCATGTGGTCCATCTGGCCAGAACTCCCAGCCTATGGAAGAAAGGCTGCCCAGTTTGTAGATCTCCTGGGATACTTCTCCCTGAAAACACAGCAGACTGAGAAAAAGGTACAGTGACATTCCAGAAGGGAGATACAGCATCCCAGATGCTCATTTTTGATACAGCTGAGACAGGTTTTCTGTCAAAAGAGCTTCTGGTGGAAAATTTTCTTGTTCCTTGAACTTTAATGTTAAAAAAAGCAGAGTCTTCAAAGAATTTGGAAGTGTGGGTTTTTATTTTATTGTTTCGGGGGTGAAATTGTGCTGGTGAGCTTTTTATTTATTGAGAAAAATAGCTCTTACCCACAGGAGGCTTCTGTGGATCTGGCAGCTCCAGTTTATAGATTTTTGATATTGCAACTCCTAGAAACCTATTGTAACCATGATTTTTGAACAAAGGAAGTTGTTGCCTCTTTCAGGGGATCCGTGGGATTGAGAACAAATAATTTAGAACCATTGAGTCTTGCATGAATATATTTAAAGAGTGGGGAATGCTGTACGAATCTTGGCAGGCATTTGCGGGGATTCACTGACAAACAGCACCTCAGAAATATCAAATTTTAGGATCAATGTAAAGACCTGGGTAACGATTTAAACACAAAAATTCCCTGTGGGTGTGGTGGGTACCTCTTCTAGGGGACCTGGAACACCACAAGATGAGGATATTTGTGTCTGTGTAGCAGTAAAAGCATTGGTTTGAAGAGTGCCTTTTCCTGGTTGTGTTTCAGCTGAAGGAATATTCCCAAAAGGCTGTGGAGATCCTCCGGACTCAAAACCACATTCTCACCAACCACCCCAACTCCAACATCTACAAGTGAGTCGCTTCTGCCTTTGGTCCATGTCTCTGGAGGGCTTTCCAGCTGAGCTCCAGCCATGGGGAATGCCCAGGGATGGTGCTGGGGATGGGCCCTGCTGAGGTTCTGTGCCTGCTGGGCCTGGAGAGCACAGAATCCTTCCTGCCAGATGGAAACCTGACTTTGTGCCCTACCAGCAGAGCTTGGTTTGAGCTCTCCTGCTTTCAGTCAGTAAATGTTACAAAATCTTGGGCCCAGCTGGAGAATAGAGATTGGCACTTTTGAGTGTTATGTTCTTGGTCCCACCTTGGCCATTGGTAATTACAGTAAAAATGCTTAGTTAAAAGCTGTTATTTCCAGTGTGATTCACATTGTAACAGTCACATTGGGACGGGGAACTGGGGAAATGAAAGTGATTCTGCTCAAATAGCCTGGGTTTAAAGCAGCAAATGCCCAGGTCCATGTGTGAGTGTTGCTCCCTCATTCCAGCACATTGTCTGGGCTCGTGGAATTTGATGGCTACTACCTGGAGAGTGATCCTTGCCTTGTCTGCAACAACCCTGAGGTGCCTTTCTGTGTAAGTAACCCTGGAATCACACCATCATGGAATATCCTGAATTGGAAAGGGCCCACAAGGATCAAATCCAGCCCCTGGCTCTGTACAGGACATCCCAACAATCCCACCCTGGGGATCTCTGGGAATGGTGTCCAAATGCTCCTGGAGCTGTGATAGCCTCAGGGCCATGCCCATTCCCTGGCAGGAATCCCAGGATCCCGCCACCCTCTGGGGGAAGAACCTTTCCCTGACCCTCCCCTGGCACAGCTCCAGCTGCTCTGCATGACCCCAGCATTAACTGCTGTAAAACCTTTCCAGTGGTGGGATCCCAACCCTTTCTAGGTGTGGTTTCCTGTGCCCCTGAGGTTTTGGGGTGTCCTTGGTTTGTCTCCCCAGTACATCAAGCTCTCGTCCATCAAAGTGGACACGCGCTACACGACCACACAGCAGGTGGTGAAGCTCATTGGCAGCCACACCATCAGCAAGGTGACAGTGAAGATTGGAGACCTGAAACGAACCAAGATGGTGAGAACCATCAACCTCTACTACAACAACAGGACCGTGCAGGCCATCGTGGAGCTGAAGAACAAGTATGTTCATCAAGTTCTGTGTGCAGTCTCTGAATTTGGTTCGTTCCCTTGGCTTCTTGTTTTCCCCCAAGGTTCTTCCTTTAGACTATTACTCATCACTCTCAGCCCACATTGGGTGGGATTGTTCTGAATCCCCTACAATTGTTGAAGCAAAGATCCAGATTTCCTCTGAAGCTTGAAAAATGTCTATAAAATCTGTGGATTCAAGTTTTGTCCAGGCTTGCTTTAAAGCACCTGACTTAATTGTGTGGGAACCAGTAGTAATACCGAGAGCACTTCATGGGTAGTTTGACTCCAAAAGGGATTTGGACTTTGCAGCATGTCCGGGAATGCTGAAAGCATTAACGTTGTTTGTTTGAAGCCATAGAGTAGAATTAAAATTAGAAGTTGGATGGTCTCACTCTCAGCTCTGCTTTACCTACCAGAGAAATGGCTCCTTTTCAACACGCTGCTCAGTCTGGAGCCAGTCCTGCTTATGTGCTTCCCCTTCTTACTTCTTGAGATGTTCTCACCAGAATCAGATCTCTCTGGCTTAGGGATTAATCTGTGCCCGCTGCTTATTGCTTATTTGAAGTCTTAATCCTCTGTGACATCACACATGGCTGCTGTGGAGAGGATTATGATGTCACAAAGAGAGGATTCTGACTTCAGGTTGAGAATAAGCAGTGGGAGCAGATGAGATCTTTAAGAAATAAATATCCTGTTTTCATGCAAATGTCATTACTAATAAAAAAATGGAGGTGAAAATCCCTAGAAAATGTCTGTAGAATTAAAGTTTTTCCATGAGGCATCAACAGCTCTTTAATCCCAAACAGTCTCTCTCTATGAAGAGGATAAAGGCTTAAAATGTATTTCTGGCTACATATCATGTCAATACAGAAGCTAAGGAAACGAATCCTAGAACTGCTCTCCATTCATCCCAGTTAAAGGAGATTTGGAGCCGAGACGGTTGCATTTGGCTTTTCCTCAGACGTGGGCGGGGAGGGAACTTCCCTCTGGAAAACCATCCTTTCCTTTCCTTTCATTTCCTTTTGTTCCCTTCCTTCCCCTCCCGACCCTCCCCTAGGCCGGCCCGCTGGCACAAGGCCAAGAAGGTGCAGCTGACGCCGGGGCAGACGGAGGTGAAGATCGATCTGCCCCTGCCCATCGTGGCCTCCAACCTGATGATCGAGTTCGCCGACTTCTACGAGAACTACCAGGCCTCCACCGAGACCCTGCAGTGCCCGCGCTGCAGCGCCTCGGTGCCCGCCAACC